GGGCAAGTTACTGCAATCGATACAAGAGCTCTCCGAATGAGGTCCATAGTCGCTGAAAAATATTGCATGTCAATAGATTGATTGGATAATTTCAAACCTGATTAGCGATATTTCTGACTAATGTGAACATTTTCTCCTTATAATACTGGTATGCATTTTTTTTGTTTCGTATATAATATTTATGTAATATTTTTTAAAATTCGTATTTAAACAAATATTTCAAATGAAAAAGCTTTGATATCCTCTCTTTTGCAATTTTATATATACATGTATAATATATATAAACTGTGTTTAAAATGGCGAGAATATTAAAGCTATTCCATTTGAAATATTTGATTAAATGCAAATTACAAAATAAAATAATAAAAGAAATAAGTTCAACGTAATAACGATTATTAAATGAAAGAAATGGCAAATATTAGAGCCGAGGCGCGATAATTAGAACGCAGAAGAAATTTTAATATATTACAAAATATTCAATTTCATTAAAAAATATACATTAAGTACAACGTACTGAAATTGAATAATTTGTAATATATTAAATTTTTTTTTGCATTTTAATTATCGCGTCTCTGCCATTTCTTTCACTCAGTAATCGTTAAAAAAAAAAAAAAATATATATATATATACATATATATAAATATTTTTTTGGCGATTATATGAAATTGTTTAAATGGAAAGTTTTTATATCCTGTATTCTCTGCGGTAATAATATTTATTGAACAATCTTTGAAAACCAAGATTGATTTTACGCAAAAGGAAACCAAAGTTGATTAAATCGCTGATAACTGATGCCTGCAGCAAACCATGTCTCATTTCCGCGTGCATGTCAGGATTGACATGGATCGCGCATCGTTTTGTACGACCGACGTCGCGGATGCATGCACTGTGGCTATTTATTGATCCGCAATCCAAACGGGCGAGCGACGCACGGAAAAGCGCCTCGGCATAGTGCTCTTGGCTTCCGTTCGGCATTAATTCATTTGCGATCGTTAATCGAATCCCATAAACCTTCAGTTGCCGAATCATATCTCTTGATATTGCGACCATATCGAATTTGCATGAGTTCCCAGTTATTTTGCATGATCTCGGACTTATGAGAAATATAAATTAAAAATGAAACCACCAATGAATATTTCTCTGCACCAAACACATTCTTAATTAGTATTAAAATGTTTCCCTCTTTTTGTATCCTTTATCCGCTACTAAAATTTTACATTTTCTTTTCCATATTTGATATTCTATGTTATATGCTTGGCATTTATAACTCACATTTTGTATTCTTTAGCTTAACATTCTCTCTGTCTCTTTCTGTTTTCTTAATGTCTATTATATTCTTTTCAAGAACTGATAATGCATATTTAACAACTTTTCAACTCTCTTATTACACATATGTGCCTTTTTTATTTTATTCGAATGAAAATGTGAAAGAAAGAAAGCATTATTTCGAATAAATCCAAAGTTTCATAAATATGAAACGAAACGAAGAATGCATCTGCGTTCCGGTTAGCAAATACAGAGGTTGGAAAGAAATGAAATAGAGAGATAAACGGAAAAACAGTAATTTCTTTTAGAAAAATTACTTGTTAAACCTGGTGTAGCCGGTCGTTTCCGTTACCGCGTATAATTCTCGATGAAGGTCGATTTGACGCAGATATAGTTGACCTCATTTCTTCTTGCTTCGCACGCTGGCAGAGTGCCGCTTTTTATTGCAATTCTATATCCGTGAAATACAACCCACGATCAAGCGCACATTCAATATGTAATAGGAGAAATCGGCTAATTATTTCGCGGCTTCTATATAACTTTTCTCTTAATGATTAATTACAGAGCTTTTCTATGGCGTTATCTCGTGTTCCGCGCTTGTGACTGAAAGGCCATAAGTCAAGTCGGTCTAAAAAATATTATTTTAACGAGTTCCTCTTTCGAGTAAAACGTGGTGCGCTTTCTGGTATAAAATTCCAACTTTGATGTAAACGGAGATGTACAAAGAGTGTAATATCTTTTTTCTTTTTACAAAAATATATTTGTAGATTTTAGATACAAGATTGGTAAAATAGAAGAGAATGAGAACAATTCGAAAAGTTCCATTATAATTTCGAAACGTTCTTATTTGTTTTAAAAATTTTTCATAATTTTATAAATTGAAGAAAATAATACCCCTATGTGTGTGTAATAAAAGAGCTGTTATTATTATGTTCTTTTGAACAATTGTTAAAATTTTTTTTTCTAAGCAAACAAAATCACACATATCTCGCGAGTACAATTGCGCAAAATTTACATTATCGTCAATCTAAAGCCGCCATGTGATGAAAAAGAAATACGCATTAAATGATTCGAGACACGCGATTCGCGTCGACCGTCTCGTGACGTTGTCGTAACCCATCGATTTCCCTTGTATCTCTTGCCAGCTTGTTATCCTTGTAAACAAAAAAAAAAGTAAAGAAAATCTACAGTGCAACTCCAAATAATAAAACGAGATATACGCTCGTGTTAAAGATAGCGTCGTTGTCTGCTGCTGGTGCTGCATCCATATTGAAATGGGAAATAAGCTTGCAAGAATATTGAAATAAAAGTGTTGCCGACTCTCTTACTTTATCTTCTTCTTTTTGCCTCAGAAACAAGATGTAGGTTTGTTCTACTTTTGCGAGTTATTCTATACAGAGATACGCTATCGTCAGCTAAGGATAGACGAATGTATGGTTAATGTAACGAGACAAAAGAAAAATCCTTTTCGTCCATATCTACTCTCGCAATTAGTATGAGAATATAATTGGATTAATAATCAAGTTAAAAACACTGTTCACATTTTGCGAGTTGTAAAATTGCGACATTAAATCTTCTCGATTAACTTTATGGAAATATAATTTAATAGAACACATGCTTTATTCTGTCTGAGAAACATGAATAAAATTTAGATTTAAATGTTTAATTAATTTATCCGCTTTCATTAATTAAGTTATGTTATATGTTTCTATGTTTTTATTTATATCATTTACAATGCAAAAATTGTGATAAAAATATTCTACATAAAAGTATAAGAAATAGAAATAAAGATCAAGTATCATACAACTTGCAAAAAAAAAAAAAAAAGAATACAATGGAGCAATTAACAATTTCACGAATGATTCCGATTTCTTTTTCTTGATAAAAGACTCGTTGCTCAAATAATCGTTAAAAGGAAGAAGAGTAGAGAGATATGATATTTATATTATAAATACTTCAATCTACAATACGCTGTCAATTCTTTTAGGAATCATAAAATCTCTACAGAATCTCTCTTGATATTTCTACAAAAACAGCTTGCAATTTGTGAACATTATATTTTTAATAAATACAAAAATCCAGTGTATAGAAATGATTAAGAAGAAGAAAATCATAATCATACTGTAATTATCGTACAAACTTGTATAAATATCCACAAATTTTGAAGTGTGTCTACAATCACGTGGAATCAGTTTCTCGATCGTTTTAACAAACAGAAGTTCGATATGAAAGAGTAGCGGTGTAAATATGAGCGAGTGGAGAGAAAAGTTCCGTATTGAACACAGACCGCCGACCCTGCACGCGCTTCTTTCACTGGCGAGGGAGCCCTTCACTCTTACTTTTCTACTGCGTTGCGTACCCGCCGGGCCAGGCGCTCGGCGTCGCCGCCGTCGCCGAGGCACGAGCGTGTGACCGAGTTTCGGTAGGATGATGATCGACCGCGCGAAACTCGGTCAAAGACCACCGACACCTTTCCGCGGCTTCGCTTGTGCAGATAGCGGTACGCGATTCGCGCGATAATTCCCAGCCAAAGCCTCCTCGGAGCGTCTCCATGCTTGGAACGAACGCGCGCGCGATCCTTTATTTCCGCAACGCGATATGTAAATTGGCGTCAAGCGCAAAAGTCGTCTCATCCGTCATGAAGAAATTAAGTTTCGAGTTTCGCCTCGTCTTGTAGAATGCAATTCTCCACGGTTGAAATAGAGCCTTTCTCTCGAAAGATCTTATCTCACAAACATGAATGTCAAATATTTTGAGCGTATTTTACATGTAAGTATGACGTAAGTCATACAACATTCGTGTCGCGATGTTGTGCATATTTTATATAGCAGATCTTAATTTCGGAATTTATGAGAGAGAAGCAATTCAGATTTATTTAGTCTCTCTGTTCTTGTTGCAGATAAAAATATCGACCGACTCGAAGACTAGACTATGTTATTTCGGATAACGGATTGATCGCACCCGTCGCTTCATTCACACGTGAGTATGCATTAATGCGTTCCGTTTTGTAGTCCATTTGCGGAAGTAGCTTGCATTCCCCATTTATTTCACCGACATTATCCAGCCTAATGATTCTCTCCCGAGAGAGAGAGATATTTTCACGATATTCTAAGAAATACTCTGTTCACGCTGCTGTAATTAAAAGTTACGTCAGGATTGACAAATGACCATATATAAATTTGAACGTATCTCTCTTGCTGTAGTAATTTTCTTAATTTATATCAGCGGAAAATGTCGCAAAAACAAAAATTGATAACGCGACCCGATGTTTGCGCTCTTCTAACAGACACATATCTGCGATCTTATCGCAACGTAGCGCTTCTTGCTCGACTTCTCTTAGGTCGGACATGAAAAATCTTGGTTCGCGTTGGACGGTCCCCGACATAGCACGCACTGCCGCAGCGCGTTCGTCATTTCTCGTCGCCATTTCGTTGGAACGAGATTCAGGTAGCAGCAGCAGCAGCAGCAGCAGCAGCAGCAACAACAAGAGCAGCTTGAACCGCAACAGAAACAAAGCTAGAAGTAGCGGTAGTAACGGCAGCAATAGCAACAGCAGCAGCAGTATTCGCTTGACGGCGATCGACCAGAAGAGGAAGAGCAAAAGCAACGGCGGATCGGCAATCGACGTGCTGCACGGAGCGCATTTATCCGTCCGAGCGTACGTAACGGCGCCGTGTGACCGCATCATCGGCACGACGCGTTCCGAATCGACGACGCCCAGAAACCGGCCGCAGGTAGCCGGCAAGTCGAGCCACCCTCAGCACCGGACCCGTCGTCCCCGTCAGCCGCAGCAGCAACTCTACTACCCCCCCGCATCGTGGGACACGCGCACACCACACTTCAGGAACTGTTAGCACCGATCAAAAGTGAGTCTCCGCGTATCTAAGAGATATCATCCCTTTATCTTCACCCTTTACCTATTATAATGTTTTTCCCGTATCTTTAATTTATTTCAAATGTCCCATCACAAAAGAGAGTTTCGATATTACACTTTATTTTCATATCTTAATTATTTTTGTATCTTACTTTTTTTTTTATATCTTTTTTATCTTTATTTAACACCATCGTAAAGCCGATCCAATTTATTGATTTGCGAGGTATATAATATCGAGTTTTGAATCACAAGTGGATGTTAGGCCTGTACTTTGACATAAATCGATATATCGATATTATTTGTCTTGGTATCGTTCGAGTTCTTTTTTGTATTCTTTTGTCTTTGCGTATTGTTATTGTTGTTTGTTACGATTTTATAATCGGGGCTCTTTCGCAGGAAGGTGGCTCAGCTGTGCGCAGCCTAGACAATGTCCGAAGATTCTGACTCTATATCAGAGGAAGAAAGAAGTTTGTTCCGTCCGTTCACGCGGGAGTCCTTGGCAGCGATCGAAGCTCGCATCGCTGAGGAAGAGGCCAGGCAGAAAGAGCTTCAGCAGAGAAGAGCCGAAGGCGAGGTATGAACGCGGCCGTGTGTGATACACGAACGCGTATCTTTCAATTTTTCTCGCGTGCGCATTAATTATATCGACGCATAATTGATCATGTGCGTATACTTGTGTAGGACATCCCTTGAGTAGCGTCAAATAAATTACGTGATACGATGACGATCAGGCATTTTTTTATCCTTTTAACTTCAAGGATATTGACACATATTTGTACATCAAGGTTTAGTATATGAAATCTTTTCACGAATAGTCAATTTTAACGCACAATGGCCATGTAAGTGTACATTATTTTTTCAAAGATTTCAAACATTTTTCAATTCTTTTTCTGTTTTGTTTAATAATTATAAATATATTTTGAATAAATATAATTGAAAAACAAGATAAAATAATTTTTTCCGATTTCAATAAATTACTTAGATCCAAATATCGATTAAAACGAATATTTATTCTGACGCTGCTGATTTTCCTGCCACAAGTTCGTGCCCGATCGATTAATTTCCCTACGTAATCCTTTTCGTTTTTTTTGTACGTATTTATATAAATGTATAAAGCGAGCGATATGTAACAATAAAATTTTAGAAGTCTTGATGCGCGAAGAAAAAATAGCATTCGCTTAACGTGAAAAAATTATGCAGGTGATCTTACAAACTTTTGAAGAATTCGTTTTTGAATCTTCATCAGCCGATGGCCAATGCGCCCACAGGCGCTTGTATGATATACGCTAAAAGTTCCCCATTAATTGCCACTCATACTTAAGATCTTATCACGTAATACTAATTCTTATAAATTATAGTCGAGACGAGTAATGAACAATTATAGGCAATAATAATATAATAATCTTGGAGATATCTTTTTTCGAAAAAGTTTTTTCTAAAAATGCATTCTTATGAAAGAAATTTAATATATTAAATTTTAATATTAAAAAGGTTGTGGAGGCAAAACAATTGTCAAATAAAATAGGTCAAGAATAAAATGGATAAAATGCAGTTATAAAAATATCGAAATCAAGATAAACAAGCAATAATATCACATTTATATATTTAATAAACAATCGATTCAATCTACCTGAACAAGCAATATACAAAAATAATAAAATTTACAATACGAGATAAAAGGATTTTTTATTGCAATTTAATTTCAAATATTTTTGCTCACTAAGAAGCATCATGCTCATATCTATTACGAATTGATCGATTTTAAGTATGAGCCGCGTCTTGATTTTCCTGTGCCTAGCTGTAGCGCCGTTTGCGAGATCTGTTTTCTTCCGATATATTCGTCCGACTGCAACAAACTCACCCATATTCCTCCCCATCCGACTGTCGCGTTGATTGCTCGCTTGATCTATCGCCAATGTAGTGAGGATGTAACTATCTTTATCGAGACGACTATTTAAATCCCTATTTGTTTATATATATATATTTGTCGTCGAGCAATGTATTGTGTGTGTTATGGAAGATATGCCACGTACGCGCGAAGCTCGATATATGTCTGCAGTGTCACTTATCTGTGCCTGTTTATCATATATGTATAATACATATGTACATATGTATATATACACACACATATTATATATATACATGCATATATACGTTATTTATGCGTGGATACCGCTCGTGTGTCGTGGCTCTCTCTCTCCGTTCGTCTTCCTTCGCCGCGCTCTCGTGCTAAATGAATAACCACGCGAGTGCCGTGCGATGGAAGACGGTATGATTATCGCCATAGGAGGAGCGTATCAATGTACCAAATCCAATGAACGAGCCCTTTACATCCTTATAATTAGAGCTCCTAATTTGCCTCCGGCTGTAATAGCGGCACCGATAAATGGAGCGGATTTATTTATTAACCTTCCTTCTCCTCCTCCTTTCCCTCTTCGGGTCCATCGTTCAACATTGATCGCGTTGTTTGAAAATTACTTTTGCAAAAGGAGCAAATCCTCTCCTTCTATTGCCTCCTTATATTATACTCCAGCGATGAAAGGTCAAGGAGAGAACGAGGGAAAAGCGAGATCGAGACTGGATTATCATCGATCGTCTGAGTCTTAAATGAGTCTTAAAAATCTGAGAATATATCGTAATGCTTTTGCAAATTTTTGATGCGTTGCAAAATTTACAGATTATCTGGCACATTTTTGTACAGACGGATTATTTTTATTAATTTTGGGATATGCCATATGAATCGAGTGTTCGAAGCATTTTTTTATGTTTGACGTTTGTTAATTTCGATTTTCCAAACAAAAATATATAAAACATTTAAGAGAACAATGTAAATTGTTTTTGTTTTATAAAACGGCTTATCAAAACCAGTTCATCGAAGAGTCTCGAGAATCGAAAAGTATCTTTCCTAATCGAGTCACGTTTTTTCCCGACAGTTAATCCAATCTCGATCGAGATCGATGTGCTTGAAGAACCCTCTTTCCGGCTACCTGATCCTATGTATTCCTGTCGTGTTCTATGTCGTGATGTAAACATAGTGTGTTTTTTCCCCCATCATCTATCCTTTTGATATGTTTCTCTCTCGCTCTTTCTCTCTTTCTCCTTTTCACTTCTCTATCATTTATTCATCCAATCCAGCTCGTATTTATCCGGAAACTGCGAATCGTGCCCATCTTACCGCGTCGCGCGTCTCTTCTTTAAGTTACTGCATATTAACATACATTTTTTTTTCCCCCTCTTCTTTATTCATATCCCCCGTATTCTCTGTATCTCTGTGTGTATATAACGACTGTTTCTCCATTTCTCCAATTTCAGGGAGGTTATGGACGGAAGAAAAAGAAAAAAGAAGTAAGACGTTACGTCACGCTAAGTAATACCGCTCTCTATCTCATCCGACTTCTACCTTACTAACACATATACACGTGCACACACATCACCTACGCCGACCACATACATCCGTATACATATACATACATACATATACACACTATACGAGCACACGCACACAATCTCACGATTTCTCTTCACTCGGCAGCATTTTTGGCCGATCGATCGACTAGACACGCGTCATTCACAGCCGGATACCACATATACACATATACGATATAATATACATACTTGTTCACATTTTGTGCAGGGATTGAAAGCAAAAATAATGAACTTTTTAATTTCTCGAAAGTCGAAGAATTCAATGTTGCGAGCAATTTCATATCTTTGGAGCATAAGTCACATTATATTTGCGCGCTGCAATTTATTTTACTTAAAATAAAATAAAAACTAATAAAAATTGTATGATTTTTATGTATTTTTATTATTAACTTTCTCTTGAATTATTTTAATTTTATTAATCTCTTCTCGCTGATATTTATATCATTTAAATATATTCGTTTAGGGAATTTTATGAAAAACGTTTGTATTATCCATTATTATCTTTTTGAGTTATAAAATAGAGAGGAACAAAATATATTCGTGAAATAATAATTTCACGAATTATTCTGCCAATAGCAATATCTTTATTGGCAAATTGTTCGCGACAGTCTTGGTATAAATTCTAACTTTTACGTTTTTTGAGTTTAATATTTTTTTTAAACGTCACTATCAATTCCGAAAGAATCTGCATTCACCGGTTTTAAACGGTCGCGAAGGTTTTCAATCCCTGATTCTCTGCGTGCCACGGTGTATATCGATTCCCGAGCGTCATCACATCCCGAATCGATATATCGACGAGATACCAAAGATGTGCAAGTTTAATCCGCGAAGCATTGAATTCGAAATGTTTTGATTAATTAATTCGGGGAACTATTCTTGGCGCGAGAGAGAAATCGCTTACGCGATATCTCAATGTCGCGGACATTTCGAGTGTCTTTCTTATCGTGATCGCGAGTAATCCTTCTTCTGGGTATTACATCGTGGACGAAAACATTGTGCGGTGAAGTCTTACTGATAATATTGCACACACGACACTCACATACAGACACACAAACGCAATACAAAGCAGCGTGCTTCTATATATCGCCCCTTGTTTGTTTGCAAATACACATTACACGTTCCTTGGCAAGTGTCTTGACGTCTTACAATCAGAAGCGAATTATGCTTGCGCTTTAAAACGCGCGACTTCTTCTCGAAATATTTATCGATCCCAACATGTCTGTGCTCTAAAAGCGCTTTGCACGAGAGCTTGGAATTAATCATAATGAATGGCAACTGAGTTGTCATAATATTTAAACTCGATATATTACAGTAAATAGAAATATTGAGTAAATGAGTAATGTGTATCAAGCATATCCTTTTGCAAATATAACAGAATTCTGATAAGTTTCTTGAAAAGCAAAACGACATCTTATTGAAGCTGTTAAACCCAAACTTGACTTATCAAATTTGATAATGATTTGTTTCTAAAAGCTATTTGGAGTATACACAAATATGCATGTATTCGAAGAAATAAACAGAAATGTGCCATTTCTAACGAGAAATACGAGTACGATCTTAAAAAGTATGATCGTCGAGAAGCACCCAAAGTAACGCACAGTAATATGACGACATAAATATTTCGAGCGGAGGCCACGCGGTCGCCTGGTAAAACGCTTTTATATAGATTGTACATGATGTACATGTATAACGCTTGCGCTGACTTCTTTCCTTTTCTTTCTCTTTTTTTTTCTTTTTGAATGAACTGGCGCTCACTGGCGTTGCAGCTGCTTTCGAGCGAGCAAAGTACGCGAGTCGCGTACTACATGATGACGCGATAACGCGATGTCTTCTGTAATCGTTTTGATTTATTGTTAGTCGCATATTAGGAAGTTATATATATTCGCGCGAAAGGTTTTTCCATGCTCCGTTTAGACACTTTGGAAACGATATTAATCTTCGAGGCGCCTCCTCGGCGGCTCGTATTTTCGTCGGGAGAATCGTCTGACAAGGCGTCAAGAGTTTAGCGCGAGAGGAACGAAAGCTCGGCTTCCTCGCGTGACGTCTCGCGCACTCTGCTTCTAAACACATCCGTCTCGTGGTCGAATCCAAACGCTGGGACGGAATTTTTCATGATCGAATCTATCTTCGGGATTCGACAACGAGCGGAGATTTTTTTCTCGCACGCACGAGCACGCTCCGCAAGAGAATTTTCCCGCGCTGAGAATCACCGACGTAAAACACTTGGCTTACGCAAATTAGTCCTAGTCAACTAGATCGTACACACTTTAGCGTAGACACCTTTATTAGGGGTGTAGGACACACTCGCCTCGAGTTTCGACACATAGTTTCGCAAGGAGATCTCCAATTAGAACATTTTATCGCATCGCGATGGAACCGATTCTATCGTTCGCGAGATTTCTATCGCATTTTGCGCTTTCGCCGATGAGAATATCTCGACGAGATCGTTTAGCGGAGTTAAGATCTTAAACTCGTCGCGCATAAATTTACATAAGCGTATAAACGCGGACTATATAAGCCGTCTTGAGCGATGTAGGAGAGGCATACTTGACGGCTCCGGATAAATGAAGATTATCGTGCTCTATGCCATAGCGAATCGGATAGAAAGAATAGAGCTACTGTGTCTAGAGTTAAGCAATATTAGTCGAGAGTCTCAGCATAGAAAAATAGAAATAGTATTTATAATTACGAGACGACTAGAGAAAGAGATTCGAGCCGTGGGCCAAAGTCGAGCAGATCGCATGGTCCTTCCTCAGGTTCGTACGACCCGAATTTGCTACGTACGCGAATATATTAATCTTTTATTATACATAAGGTTTTTGTTTTTCATATCTATTGCCGTGATTTATCGGTTAGATAATTTGGCTAGATAATTAGCTGTAATAATAATTTTTTAAGTATTCGATCAGCGATCGTGGAAAATTCAGTAAGTTTAATTGGGAAATCTAACTGTAGGAAAACGAGATTTTTCTCTTTAACGCGCTCCAACACATGAGAGTGTTGCAAATATATAATTACGCTTATTATATCACTTTCATTAGATTTCGAGATTCTGTTTCGTGATAGGCGATGACGCAATAGAGCGTACAAAAGCTCATCTAAAAGCGGGTTATGAATAACTGGTGCACTTAGAAAAGTACGCGGATGAATATTTCCAAAGGAGCGATTTGTTCGAATATTCATACGATTGAATATTTCATGTTTCATATTCCCGTATACGAGAAAGCCAAACATGGTGCCGTACGGTTTTTACTCTTCTATACGATCAAATTTTATATATTTCCGACCAACATATATATTCTCTCATAATACATATCTAGGGCGTATAAATATATGTAATACTTTAATGCCATATTTTCTTTTCTTTCATTAATCTCGCGTGAAATATACCACGATAAAAAACAGAATATTAACTTTATAGAAGATTACGTGAGTTAACAAAATTAGTAACAAACACGTAACGAGATTTATACTTTTTCTTGACAAAAAAAAAAAAAATAGATATTTATATATACTAGAAGTTTCTTATGTAAACATACATATTTTTAACAACTTTTTTTAATGCTTTTTGGTTATAACTTTTAACGAGAATAATGAAATGTTATTGAAATATATACAGTCGAAAATAAATTTATGTACATCCTGTACAGTCATGCGGCACATTACTATCGTCGAATGTGGAAATGCAAATGCGTATACAGCTGAATCTATTGTCTGTTTAATTTACGGTCGAGGAAACGAATACTTTTTGGAGATATTTATATCATCTATTGTGTTCGATTATATAGTGTTGCTCTTCGAATATGAAATGTGATATATGTGATGGCCCAATTTGATCTTCCGTGCGAGACTTGCGCTCCCGCGTGAAAATAATGAACGCATTAAAAATTATCATTACAAAATTTAAAGCGCGATACGGGAGAGCGAGGTCAATCTTTCTTTTTTCTACATGTCAACGTCGTATCTCTAATATATTCGCTAAAAGGAATGTTACAATTCTGCTCGAATTCTGTTCTCGATAGAATTTGAATTTCAAATATCTCTTTCGTATATTTTTAATTATTCGCGGTAATAGTTCTTTGCGAGAATTCGAACTTCATTTTGCGCGAGCGAAAAATAGCCGTGATGACGATCGATGACGAAACAATTCGCGTATCGAAATAATCTTACGAGCATCTCATTCGCAGGTACGGTATGACGACGAGGATGAGGACGAAGGTCCTCAGCCGGATCCGATGTTCGAGCAGGGAGGGCCGATTCCGGTCCGAATGCACAACGACTTTCCACCCGAGTTGGCCTCCACACCTCTCGAGGATATCGATACCTTCTACCACAATCAAAGGGTACCCAGGCATTGACGCATTAATTAGTTTAATTCTCTTGGAGAGACTGAGTTTTCGCGAGATGCAGAATATTAGAGAGCGGCCGCTCCGCGTCACGGCTGCATCTGGCACAGTTATTTTCAAACTTTGGCTTTCAAGCACGTAATTGCTTTGTGTAACTCTTTTACAACTTTAATGGCATGCGATAAGAGCCATATTATATATACATAGATATCTGAAGATCTTGTTATAATTTAAGCCTGGGCACATATAGATCTTTGAAATTATGAATTCAAGAGAAAATCTATTTTTCGCGTAATCTTGATCGATTTTTTCACTTGCGATAAATTTTATATCATTATGTTCAGAAAAATATTCTTATTGATTATTAAATCAAGATGAATTATATACACATTGATACGTCAGAATCATTAACATCACTAGGAATTATTTTATATTTATAAAAAAAGTTATATTTATATTACATTATTTTAATATCAACATTTTTGCGACATACAATTAAATACAAAAATCCACGAGCACAAAGCAATTGAAAAAAGAGTACACGTTCTTTCAGTTGTATTATTTGGCGGCTGATATCTGACAATAAATTTTAAAATACGTGTTTGTTTGCAGACCTTCGTCGTCATTAGCAAAGGAAAGGACATATTCAGGTTCTCAGCGACGGACGCGATGTGGATGCTCGATCCGTTCAATCCAATACGACGGGTGGCCATTTACATATTGGTCCACCCGCTCTTTTCCCTCTTCATCATCACTACGATATTGGTTAACTGTATACTTATGATCATGCCCACTACGCCCACCATCGAGTCCACCGAGTAAGTATCTTTTGCTGTTCTCATCTGCGATCGATAACTCTGTCGAGAATTGATGAGGAAAGGAGAAAAAGTTATATAATTACAACGAGCGAAGTGTCAGTCAAGTTTTTTTTATAAAAACTGTAATTATCGGAAAAGGTCAAAAAATAATTTTAGATACTCGGATGAATCTATGAAATACATTTCGAGATACTTGATTTCGTATTAGCGGCGTCATTGATGGTATTAAACGCTCGATATAAAACAAAATACGCTAGCGATTGTCACGGAATTATTTAGATATATTATTTAATATTGTTCATTTCAATTGTGATTAATATACCTAATTTCAGCTTATTTGTTTTCTTTATTATTTTTCGACTATAGTTAAAGATATTTGTATTTAAAGAAAAAAAACGGCGTAGCAAATAAATTATATTGTCGCGTTTTGTGAATGTAAGCGATATAAGAAGTAAATCTATAGACAAAAATATCTGTTTTTTTAAATATACAAGGACAATACTCACTTAAGCTTATCCTTAAGTGACTGTAAATTTACGTAGTTTAGCGTACCAATAAGTGCCTAAGCTGGAGATGCGTTTATCATCGTCCATTATTAAGCTTCTTTTGATTTTCATAATTTTAATTCATCTATCAGTTAATACTTAGCTATATTTAGCTATTTCGATATCCATTTAACTGGGGAGAATCTCATCGAAGGCTTATGGCGATCACATGTGTGTTGCAAAAAAAAATAGATATTTTAAGTATAATATTCTACGTGTTATAGCTCTAATATATGAGTAGAGACTGTGATCAATTGTATTCCGTTGGTAAGTTTTGTACTAGTCTAGAGGTAGCATTTTAGAAGGGGATGACAGGCAAATGATGACGCAAATGATTCAATCAACTGCAAGTTTTTGCGGACGTAATTTTCGCGAATTTTGCAAAATTTCAAAAAATAATCTAAAAAGATTCAAGAGTGAGCCAGCAAATATCTATTATCTCATTCTAATATCATTTCTATTATATGTTTATAATTGTTGTATGTTAGCATCGACGCGTCAAATGTAAAGAAAGAGAATAGAAAATTTAAATTTTATTATTTTGTGCATTTTATCGTGTCTTTTTATTGCATTTATGCGACAGATATATGTGACGACTCTGTCCCAAATGTGAGAAAATATGTTTTACAAATTCGCTATGAATAATTCATTCGCGTGCACCGTGCCTGATGATGCGAACATACATGATAGTTCATTTATATGTTGATAGGCGATAAAAAAAGCTAATGGTCGGAGATTATCGCTGAATAGATACGATTAGTCTCGTTAGCCAAAAATTAATATCGTGCAATTTAATAAAAAATTTCTTCGCTCGCATGTATATGTGTGTGTTTTTACATTTATTAAATAAATTTGTTATATCATTGTGAAATTTACACATTATAAAGGTACAATAGCAGATACGTGTCCACTAATGATACAACAAAATAATTAACTTAATATGAAAGATAATTGTAATAAGTTTGATGTAGAAATGTTATTATATAGCGATAATTATATGACCATTCTCGTATTTTGCGAGAACGTTTTTTGCGCGTCTTTTTCAGCTGCGATTCTAAACGCGCTGAGACAAAATAGATAACAATCACGATGTAAAACGCACTTAAAAAGCTGAGTGGTGTGTTTGTTGTTTTCAGAGTGATATTTACGGGCATCTACACATTTGAATCCGCCGTTAAGGTGATGGCGAGGGGTTTCATTCTGCAGCCTTTTACCTATCTTAGAGATGCATGGAATTGGCTCGACTTCGTAGTTATAGCTTTAGCGTGAGTAGTTAAAACTTATTTTTCTTAAAGAAAGGAAGGGAGGGAAAAAGAGACAGACTAAGAGAGCGAGAGAGAGAGAGAGAGAGAGAGAGAGAAAGAAAGAGAAAATAAAAATAAAACATAAAAAGACGGACGCGAGTACGGTTTTTGCCCATCATACTTGATAGAGTACGATGGATAAAAAAGGGACAAAAGGATCGTCGCCATTTTGTCGAGGAAAAGTCATCGTGGAGATCCTGCGCATACTAATGAAGGTGTTCAAGACTATCGCTTTTATCTTTGTATAAATTATATATCAGGCTAATTACTTTTCGTAGCAAAAGATGTCGATATCGAAGGTCAGAATTTTTATCGTACCTTTATCTTTTTCAGAAATCTAAAACTGGCTTTCCTAAAATTTACGATGATCTTTATACAGAAATTCTATTTATAAATCATTTTAATAGTAAACAGAGTGAAAAATAAAAGATAATTTACTGGCTATTAACGTAATTAAAAAAGGGAAGGATTCCTAAACATATATTATATATATACATATATATATATCGCGATTGCGACGACAATCATGGTAATCGAAACCAGTTATTACAGTCTTTGTATATAACGTTACCTTAAAATAGCGACGCGTTTTATCCACGAAACGTTAATTAGCATCAAGTTAGATCACATTCCAGGTTACGACAGTAGACTACACTTCGCTAGATCCGTTGAGTACGCTAACCGTAAGACTTCCGTAGCATCTCAATTAATATTCGATCTTTGTTCACATCACGCCCCATCACAATACACATACCTACAGACACGTACGCGCATACACGCATACACTCTGGGGTATATTTATATATTCTATAGGTACTTAAATTAGTTTACACCTAGATAGGGATAGTATTATTTCTTATCTATTAGTGACTAATTAAAGGAGAGTTTATCTATTATAATTGCCATCGTAATATGTTGATTAGACATTAGTATTTTTACGTCGAGTCGATTAAGTCAGTTGACTATATATAATTGTTGTAGTTTTTAGTACATATCTCTATACATACATTCTCTTACTTCAGTAATTGTTTATAGATGATTACGATTACGTGTATATTTTATTCGATATGCGGGTATTCGACTGCGCATCGTAATATCGCCAATCGCGTGCCACGGGATTCAACAATTTTCTCACTGTATTTGCAAAATCGTTCATTTTTTTCAGAATAACATTTTGCTTTCTGTTATTCTCGCGACGAAGCTAAACAACGATATCGGAAAACGATTACGGATTTCATGTTCTACTTCGAAGATTTAAAAAGCGCTTATATTAGAACTATAGCTCATGAAATTTTAATATCGCAAACTGGAACTTTGTTCCAGTTGGGAAGCTGTTTGTTCTCTTCGAGATTCCTGTAAATTAAGGACTTAAAGGCGTTAAAAATTTATTTATTTATCCATTGACGAAAATAATTTTTTGAGACGAATAGAAATACAGAATGTCGAAGGTATAAAAATCAAAAAAATTTTTTTAAATTAAGAAAAAATAACGCAATAGTCGCGTAATCGATTTTTGCTTTATAAGTTTGCTTCAAAGGGAAAAGTTATCGATGAAAATAATGCAAATAATCTTGGAATCCGTGGCAAGCGGCGCACGGCTGTGTTACATTGAATCGTGCATGCAGTAATAGCTACCTTACGGTTTACATTGCAGTTCGTGCAAACTTTTTGGTAGGCCATAGGAAATGTAGCGAGTAAGCGTTTGCGTAATTACCACTCTCCCCCGCCCCGATCTCTTTTTCTTAACTCGTTTTGTCTTTTTGTTTGTATCACTGTAATGTGTGTGATGTTCGGGTGTATTGCAGTTATGTGACGATGGGCATAGATCTAGGCAACCTTGCCGCTCTCAGGACATTTCGAGTCCTCCGAGCCTTGAAGACTGTCGCTATTGTACCAGGTATGCTTAGAGTATAGAAGTGGTTGTAGACGCAAATATACACGTAGTGATTTTAGATGATACAAACTCCGTCGCGATCGCCGTACACGTTTTCTCACGTATCTCGTCTCACACGTCTACAACAGTATCATTTCACTGCTTCTATCGCCTTTCGCATCGTTGCCATCCCTCCTTTTTTCCATTTGCCACCTGGTATTTTCGCGCTTTTCGATATTTTCTCTACGAATCCGATTTCGGTTTATTTTTTCTCAAGTTTACTTTCATTGCTTCCCTGTTCTCAGCGTGAAATAAATTATCCAATTCGATGCACTTGAAATTCTCTTGGACAGAAAATGGATGGAGATCGAAAAGAGAAACTTGATCGCATATCATGTCTGACGATTTATCGAGAAGAAGATGTCTTTGACAATTATTATATAGTTTATTTTTGATCTCGGTTGTAAATTTTATAAGAGCATGTACATCGAAGTGTCTCGTCTCGACATGATATTAAATAAGCATTCATGTTGCTATCCATAAAAAAAAAAGAAAAAAAGCGCGTGCATTGTGATGCTCTTCCCTTACTTTTAAAAATTAAATATTTTTTCTTCCTTTTCTTGGTTTTCCCTTTTTATCGAGTCTTCCGACAGATATTCGTTTCACAATTCATCCACATGCCTGCCTCAATCGAATCGCCATCTCGTTCGCACGACAAGTCGGTCGGTGTCTCTCCAAGCTGTCATCGAGAGACGTTGTTACAGGCCTCACACTGAAATCCACTGTATCCTTCTCTGTTCTCGTTGCCTAGGTCTGAAAACCATTGTCGGCGCTGTGATAGAATCCGTGAAGAACCTGCGCGATGTGATAATCCTGACGATGTTCTCCCTCTCCGTCTTTGCGCTTATGGGCCTTCAAATTTACATGGGGGTCCTCACGCAAAAGTGTATAAAAAACTTTCCCGAGGATGGCTCGTGGGGTAATCTCACCGCCGAGAATTGGGAGCGATTCGTTAGTAACGAAAGTAAGTAGCCTCGTGATTATTCGTGAAATTAATCATACAAGTCCGAAAAATCACTTGAAATCTTAATATAATAAAAAAAGATGTCTGAGAGATTTAATGTTTTCGATGTTGCTCGCCCAAATGTCTCGTCTGAAAAAATTCACAAAATACGATCGGTGGCTTATATACAAGCCGTGTGATATTTCAGTACTACACCTTTAAGCGTAAATGTCACCGTTAATAAAGGGCTTTGTGCATGATAGAACGAGATGCAACTATTTGTGAGACCAATTGATTGTCTCATGAAAATCATGAGATCTTTTTTGTGACAAATTAATTTCCGATAATCAATTATTAAATTGCGCTTTATTGTTATCTGTACCGTGCAGCTAATTGGTACGTGGACGAGGCCAAAAATATGCCCTTATGTGGAAATTCATCGGGGGCGGGGTAAGTCGATATATAACTCGCTTATCGAGTTCGTCTACTTACAAATATCGATGCAAGAAAGTTCGTGCGAAAAGTAATATTTCCCGGTGGTTACAGGCAGTGCCTTCCCGGCTACACGTGTTTACAAGGGTACGGCGAAAATCCGAATTATGGTTACACGAGTTTCGACACTTTTGGCTGGGCATTGCTCTCCGCTTTCCGTCTCATGACTCAGGATTATTGGGAGAATCTGTATCAACTGGTGTTAAGATCGGCCGGACCGTGGCACATGCTCTTCTTCATCGTGATCATCTTCCTCGGATCCTTCTATCTCGTCAACTTGATCCTCGCTATTGTCGCGATGTCGTACGACGAGTTGCAAAAGAAGGCCGAAGAGGAGGAGGCTGCCGAGGAAGAAGCTATAAGAGTAAGTACTAGAAGTTTTGATATTAAAATTGATTTCTCGACAAATTTTTGAAATTAAGCACAAATTCAACTGTAGTTTTTAAACGATTAAAGAGAAATGTATTTATTGTTTCGCGAACATTAAATCTTAAAAGTGGATTAGCCGTTAGAATTGGAAGAAAGAATCGATATATTCGATGAATGTCAACAGGAAGCCGAGGAAGCTGCATTGGCGAAGGAGAACAAGCTCGCGGCGCGGGAGGCTGCGGCCGCGGCGAAGGAGGCTGCAGCCGTGGCGAGGGAGGCTGCAGCGGTGGCCGCGGAGCAGATCGTCAAGTCCCCCTCGGATTTTTCGTGCCACAGTTACGAGCTGTTCGTCGGCCAGGAGAAGGGCAACGATGACAACAACAAGGAGAAGATGAGCATACGTTCGATCGAGTCCATCAGCGATCAGAGGCACATCAAGCAGATCAACAACAATCACAGCGCTGCCAATAAAGTGCGAAAAGTCAGCGCCGTAAGTATCCGGCTGTTGGGCGATATATATATATATATATGTATATATATATATATATATATACATATATGTATCGACCTTCTTTCGCATCGTTTGACGTAATGTAACGTGTTGGCCCTGTTATCAACCTTATAATCTCCCGACCTCGCTCCTACGAGAGCAACTTATGCGAGGCTATTCGATTCGACTCGACTCGTCGGTAGACTTTGCGATTTTCATCGCGAAATTTGAAATCCCGCTCACTTCCAAGTCAGGCCAAAAGCTTACTTGCCGGATATATATACGTAAAACTTGAACAGTGATATATGCATGTATTTAACTCACCTATTTGAGACGGAGACTACTCAGATCATTAGAGCAAACTTGTAAAACGACGAATATAAATCTGGTTAGGTAAACTTGGTAATAACTTACGTGCTGCTGTTACGTAGGTATCGAACGGATGAAGTTAAATATATCCGATAGGATATTCTTCCTAATCAATTTTATCAGGACTAGGAAAACGTATGTAATAGATGGTGTTAGGCGCGATCAAATTAGATATTTTCATATCTCAATATCTCTTAATGCTTTGTCTTAATACACAGCAAAAGATAAAAAATATCCGCGACGAGTCGAGCCTTCCCGTAATATCTGTTCTGTAGCATGCTTGGCGTACATAGGACGTCCCAAAAAATATTTATCTGTGTAGCAGGGTTGTAACTTTGAAAAGTTATGATATGGATTTTCGTAGCAGATGCGTGTCTAAAAAGATTCCAATTTTTATGTCCGTGTAATTGCCGTGGAAATTTCATTGATTAAATTTTTAGCACGTCGTATTTTAACAAAGATATACTGGCAATTTTCAGCCTCTCTAAAAGAACTGCTATTCTCGTATATCTTTTTTGGGATTTGCTACAATTGCTCGTATTATGTCATGAGACTCTTTGGATATATATATATATATATATATATATATATATATATATATATATATATATATATATATATATATATATATATATATATATATATATATATATATATATATATATATATATATATATATATATATATATATATATATATATATATATATATATATATATATATATATATATATATATATATATATATATATATATATATATATATATATATATATATATATATATATATATATATATATATATATATATATATATATATATATATATATATATATATATATATATATATATATATATATATATATATATATATATATATATATATATATATATATATATATATATATATATATATATATATATATATATATATATATATATATATATATATATATATATATATATATATATATATATATATATATATATATATATATATATATATATATATATATATATATATATATATATATATATATATATATATATATATATATATATATATATATATATATATATATATATATATATATATATATATATATATATATATATATATATATATATATATATATATATATATATATATATATATATATATATATATATATATATATATATATATATATATATATATATATATATATATATATATATATATATATATATATATATATATATATATATATATATATATATATATATATATATATATATATATATATATATATATATATATATATATATATATATATATATATATATATATATATATATATATATATATATATATATATATATATATATATATATATATATATATATATATATATATATATATATATATATATATATATATATATATATATATATATATATATATATATATATATATATATATATATATATATATATATATATATATATATATATATATATATATATATATATATATATATATATATATATATATATATATATATATATATATATATATATATATATATATATATATATATATATATATATATATATATATATATATATATATATATATATATATATATATATATATATATATATATATATATATATATATATATATATATATATATATATATATATATATATATATATATATATATATATATATATATATATATATATATATATATATATATATATATATATATATATATATATATATATATATATATATATATATATATATATATATATATATATATATATATATATATATATATATATATATATATATATATATATATATATATATATATATATATATATATATATATATATATATATATATATATATATATATATATATATATATATATATATATATATATATATATATATATATATATATATATATATATATATATATATATATATATATATATATATATATATATATATATATATATATATATATATATATATATATATATATATATATATATATATATATATATATATATATATATATATATATATATATATATATATATATATATATATATATATATATATATATATATATATATATATATATATATATATATATATATATATATATATATATATATATATATATATATATATATATATATATATATATATATATATATATATATATATATATATATATATATATATATATATATATATATATATATATATATATATATATATATATATATATATATATATATATATATATATATATATATATATATATATATATATATATATATATATATATATATATATATATATATATATATATATATATATATATATATATATATATATATATATATATATATATATATATATATATATATATATATATATATATATATATATATATATATATATATATATATATATATATATATATATATATATATATATATATATATATATATATATATATATATATATATATATATATATATATATATATATATATATATATATATATATATATATATATATATATATATATATATATATATATATATATATATATATATATATATATATATATATATATATATATATATATATATATATATATATATATATATATATATATATATATATATATATATATATATATATATATATATATATATATATATATATATATATATATATATATATATATATATATATATATATATATATATATATATATATATATATATATATATATATATATATATATATATATATATATATATATATATATATATATATATATATATATATATATATATATATATATATATATATATATATATATATATATATATATATATATATATATATATATATATATATATATATATATATATATATATATATATATATATATATATATATATATATATATATATATATATATATATATATATATATATATATATATATATATATATATATATATATATATATATATATATATATATATATATATATATATATATATATATATATATATATATATATATATATATATATATATATATATATATATATATATATATATATATATATATATATATATATATATATATATATATATATATATATATATATATATATATATATATATATATATATATATATATATATATATATATATATATATATATATATATATATATATATATATATATATATATATATATATATATATATATATATATATATATATATATATATATATATATATATATATATATATATATATATATATATATATATATATATATATATATATATATATATATATATATATATATATATATATATATATATATATATATATATATATATATATATATATATATATATATATATATATATATATATATATATATATATATATATATATATATATATATATATATATATATATATATATATATATATATATATATATATATATATATATATATATATATATATATATATATATATATATATATATATATATATATATATATATATATATATATATATATATATATATATATATATATATATATATATATATATATATATATATATATATATATATATATATATATATATATATATATATATATATATATATATATATATATATATATATATATATATATATATATATATATATATATATATATATATATATATATATATATATATATATATATATATATATATATATATATATATATATATATATATATATATATATATATATATATATATATATATATATATATATATATATATATATATATATATATATATATATATATATATATATATATATATATATATATATATATATATATATATATATATATATATATATATATATATATATATATATATATATATATATATATATATATATATATATATATATATATATATATATATATATATATATATATATATATATATATATATATATATATATATATATATATATATATATATATATATATATATATATATATATATATATATATATATATATATATATATATATATATATATATATATATATATATATATATATATATATATATATATATATATATATATATATATATATATATATATATATATATATATATATATATATATATATATATATATATATATATATATATATATATATATATATATATATATATATATATATATATATATATATATATATATATATATATATATATATATATATATATATATATATATATATATATATATATATATATATATATATATATATATATATATATATATATATATATATATATATATATATATATATATATATATATATATATATATATATATATATATATATATATATATATATATATATATATATATATATATATATATATATATATATATATATATATATATATATATATATATATATATATATATATATATATATATATATATATATATATATATATATATATATATATATATATATATATATATATATATATATATATATATATATAT